TGTATTTGTGTGATTTCTGCTGGAATCTTGAATCTGGGTGGTCCATCTCTGGATCCTCACCACCAAGCTAGGGCCTTGCCCATAGGAGGCGCTCAGTAATGTTTGTTGAAAGCAGAGCTAGTTGAGACAGGCACAGATGAGTGGGCCAGGGCCTCGGGGGTATCCCTGAGTTCTCACCCAAACTGGAGACCACAGAGCAGAAGGGTGGGGAACGCACACTGGAGACCAAAGGACTCGGGGCACTCCATTCTCAATACTTAGCGCCACATCCTGGAAACCCAAACCAAGACCTCCCCTAGTGCCAGACACTCACTTTGGCGTTACCAAGGTAGAACAACCCAGGTGTCTTCATCTTCTTTTTTTTAAAAAAGATGACTGATAAGGGGATCTTAACCCTTGACCTGGTGTTGTCAGCACCACGCTCACCCAAGTGAGCCACGGGCTGGCCCCATGTCTTCATCTTCTTTGATGATCATCATATCCATCCTGGGCATTGAAGTACAAACAAAAGAACTTGAAATCATCGGGCTCAGGAGACTTGGGTTGTAATAATAATGATGCACTTGCGTTTTGCTTCATAACTTACCAAACAGGTTCTCATCCCTTGCCCTTCAAGTACATATTTTTCTTACCCAGCCCCATTGGTAGATGCAGAAACTGAGGCTCAGAGAAGTAAAGTATTTTTTCCTGAAACATTGAGCATGGTCAGGACTTGAACCCAGTTCTTCTGACTCCACTTCCTGCATGTCTACCGGGTCCTGCTATCTCTGGTTCTAGCTTTTCCTTGAGCCAACCTGAGCAACCCTGGGTTCCTCTTGGGTCTTAAGTTTCTACAGCTGTGTAATGGGAATTGCCCTTTCTGTGGCTTTGATTTTCAATTTTGGAAGATGGGGCAAAGGGGTTGCACATGGAAAGCATGGCAGGCGGGTAGCCCTCTGGTCCCTCTCTCCTCCAGCCCCTACCTGCCGCCTCTCAATAATCCACGCACCCCCTTCCAGGTCCAAACATGTGCAGACTTTTCACCTCCAATTTATTATCACCTCATTTGTAGGATTTTAAGGTTTGTTACCTGGAAAGGAGTGAAGAGCTCACACCTCCAGTTCTGCTTTTCAAATATACCTTTATCACTTATGAAAATAACCTTATTAACAGCATCTAACCTGCTACAGCTTTATCCAGAGGGCACCTGGATAAATAAACGCAGAAGGAATCAGGGCATGGGAAACAATGCAGCTTGTTGGGGTAGTGTGGCCTCTGGAACCCTGGAATTTTCTTCCAGCCCTTGGCGGTCCTGGAGCTGTTGTCAGGGTTAGCGGAACTCAGGCAAGGCAGGGAGTAGCCTTGAGCAATTGGCCACCTTCTCCAGGTCTTTGCCTCCTGCCTCATCCTCTTGTGCTCAGAGCTCCTCCAGGAAACAGCTTCCCCAGCTCCCCTGTCTCCTGGACACTTGTCCAGGATTGATTCTCTGGGCAGCTCCCCCTCTAAGCAGTAAATGAAATATCGGTTACCAGGAGTGCACGGGAGGCAATTAACCCCTAGACCTCACCATGGCAGATGTGTTTGTAGCAAGCTGAAGCAGAGAGCCCAGCACACCTGCCTGGCCTTCCTGCAAAGTCACCCAATTAGGGCAGTCCCCAGTGGTGGGCCTGCTGTCCCCTCTGGTCCCCATAACCCTAGAAACCAGGGCAGCACCAGCCCCTAGGGCTGGCAGCTGCACGGGCACAGGATGACCTGTCATTCCCCATGTGGGTGAGCTCCAGGGGCACCTCCGTCCTCACACCCCTCCCGGCAGGGGCATTGTTTGTTAATTAATCACACATCTTTCTAAGGGGGAGGGAGCCTGGGGGGCTTCTTGCTTCTTTCCTCCAGAGTCAACTGCCCTCCTGCCTGTCCAGCCTCCTTTCCACCGTCTACTCAGCTCTGCCCCCTGGAATGTTCCTGTGCTGGAAAAAGCCCCTGAATGTAGAAGGGGGAGACACATGTCCTGCTTTCAGGGAACCCCCCGTCTGAAGAGGAGACAGCCTCTGCTCTCAGAGAGCCCCTAGTTAGATAAGGAGACAGAGCTGCTCCTTGAGGGAACCCCCAGTTCAAGAGTGCATGCTGTCCCCTGGTCTCAGAAAAGTCTAGTTTAACAGAAAAAGTAGTGTCTACCCTCAGAACCTCTCATGGGAGCCACAGTCTCTGCATCTAAGAATCCCCAAATCCCTGGTCTCAGTGGAGATACATATCCCACCCTAAAGGAGCTGACAAGGAAAAAAGAACAGTCTTTGTCTTTGAGGCCCTCTAGTCTGACAGAGGAGACACAGGTCTTGCCTTCAGGAAGTTTCCCAATCTGAGGGTGGAGACACAATCCTTACCCTCGGGTGTCGCAAGTCTGAGGGAAAAAACAGATTCTGCCCTGGGGAGCCCCTGCTTGATGTGGGAGACACTTCCCCAGTATGTTTCCCTGCAGTTGGGATGTTGCCTGAGTGACAAGCTGCTGGCTGCTAGCACTGCAGGTCACTCCTGGTATCTGCAAAGGTAGAAAAAGTCCTAGGCTTCAGCCCAGTCCCAGCTGTGTCACATACTTACTGCATGACCATGGGCAAGTCATGAATTTTCTTCAGACTATGATTTCCTCATCTGCAAAATGGAGATTTTCATCCCATCTCTCAAAATGACATGAGGACTGTCAAGTCACCAGAAAGAAAAGAAAGCAAACCAGCCAGCCAGCTAGGCACTCACTACAGAAATGACTAACATGTTTTTTATTGTAACACAGGCTTAGGCCTGTCCCTGTAGCCTCTGGGGAAGGGCAGGGAGCCCCCAGGTGTGGTGGCTGGGTAATTCCAGGCCAATGAGGCCATTAAAGAATCACAGGGGTCTGTGAGTGGCACTGGGGGACAGGAGGTATGCCTTCTAATCTAATCACTCTTCTCACCGAGTCTCTAGTTCCAGCCAGACCTGCCAGGGGTTTTATTGGGTTTGTGGGGACCCGCAGATTTCAATCTCCAGACCCCACAGGGAAGGAACAAGCATTAAGCTAATTTTATTAAATGGCCACAGCTGGCAATGGGGGGAAGTAGGGGAGAGAAGGGAGGATAAAGAAAGTCATTCAAGTCTACCAGCCATGACAAGGGTCCATACATGGGGCCTGGCCAAGAGGGAGGCCATCCCTCCTTCCTGTCTCTCCAGCTGAACCAGACTGGGGAGGGGAGGCCAGATGGGACCTTTCATCAATGTAGAGCCTTGAGATTCTCCAAGAGGCTTACCCTGTGGCTGCTGCCTAGGGCAGATGCGTGTAAATACATCAGGCCTCTGCAGGGCTGGGGTGGGAGTGGAAGGGCTGAGCTCAGGCTGCCCCAAAGCCATCCTCAGTTCTGCTTTGGAGATCTTGACTCTTTATGAAATATGGTGTACTGGGTAAGAGCATGATTTTTTTTTTTTTTCCCTTTTTGTCTTTTTTTGTGACCGGCAAAGGGATCGCAACCCTCGGTGTCGCACCCGCACCGTGCTCAACCAGTGAGCAGACCGGTCTCTATATGGGATCCAAACCCTTGGTGGGAGCGCCGCCGCCCTCCCAAGCGCCGCACTCTACCGAGTGCGCCACCAGGCCGGCCCTTTTTTTTTTTTTTAAGAAGATGACCGGTAAGGGGATCTTAACCCTTGACTTGGTGTTGTCAGCACAACACTCACCCAGTGAGCTAACCGGCCATCCCTATATGGGATCCGAACCCGTGGCCTTGGTGTTACCAGCACCACACTCTCCCGAGTGAGCCACAGGCTGGCCCCAAGAGCATGATTTTTGGTTGAAATACTGGCATTTTCCTGTTCCTGTGATCTTGGTAAGTTACTTAACCTCTCTGAGCCTCAGTTTCTTCATCTAAACTGAGAAATGGATAAAATAACAGCATCCATCTTAAAGGGCATGAGAACGTTTCCCACAAATCCACTCCCTACCCCGCACACATATCCATAAGATTATACCTGTAAAGTTCTTACATAGTATCTGATACATAGTGGGTGCTCTCTAAACATTAGCTATAGTTATTCAGGAATGTCCTGTGTGGCTGTCATGGCCCCCAGTTACAGGTGAGGGAGGTAGTGTCAGGGCAGGAAGACTTAGTGTGTCTTGGGTTCAAGTGCGATCACAGAACTAAGCACCTGGGTCACATTAAGCAAGATGTTTAGCCTCCTTGGAAGAATAGAATCTACTCATCCAATAACCTCCCAGGGCTGTTTGCACAAAACTTGAGATGACATATCTGAAAGCATTTTGCAAACTTTAAAATGATGTGTAGGGCCAGCCCGTGGCTCACTCGGGAGAGTGCGGTGCTGATAACACCAAGGCCACAGGTTCGGATCCCACATAGGGATGGCCAGTTAGCTCATTGGGTGAGCGTGGTGCTGACACCACCAAGCTAAGGGTTAAGATCCCCTTACCGGTCATCTTTAAAAAAAAAAAAAAAAAAAGATGTGTAAATAATAAAAGCTCTGTTTATTGAGCACATACATTATAGCTCTGTAATCCTCAAGTGAGGTAGGTCTCCTTACCTGCACATGAGAAAACTAATGTACCAGTGGTAAAGAACTCGGACCAACGTCAACCAGACTTTAGTGCAAAGCTTGTTCCTTTCTATGCCTGTCACTAACACAGAATTGAATCTGAGAGGAGTGACTTGCCCAGGATCACACACAGTGGCACAGGGACAAGAACCTAGTCTCCCAGTTTAAAGATTGCCTGTGCCTTTGGAATGGTGATGCCACCTTCAGTGATGCAAAAATGAAACTTCTCCATCACGGAAGATGATGTAACCAGGCTGTTTCCCATTCCGGCTGCCCAGGCCCACTTGGGCTGTGGTGAGCATTGGGTCTTTTTGTCCACCCCTTCCTGGAGCAGGTCTGACTCTGGCATCCGGTTTGCCCCAAAAGCTTTCACCAGAGCCCTTCCCAGTCTGGAGGAAGGCAGGGTCCATGGTCCCCTCCTGCAGCCCTCCCCTGGGTACAGACTGAAACCCCCATGGGGTGGAAATGTTTTTATTATACCTTTGGTCAGACAGGGAGCAGCCTGGCCGGGAATTTGGGGGTACTGAGAAACTATCCAGCCCCCAACCCACCCCTCCCCCAGGCGGTGCCACCCAGAGCCAGAAGGCAGGTCATCAGAAGGCGGGAAGCAATCCTGCCCCGACCTCTCCCCAAGCTGGGGCGGGCTGGCAGGCGGGGGCGGGCGGTAAATAGTCCTATTGTACAAATATACAGCGCGGGCCGGGGTCCAGAGCCGTCGACTGCCTCCCGAGGACCAGGACAGGGGCGTCGGGCCCGGCTCTGCGGGAAGGCAGCGGGAGGACCTAGCTGCAGCACAGGCGGTGGCAGGGCAGGCCAGGGGCGTCAGAGCCGGGGAGGGCAGGGGACGGGTCGTCATCTGTTCCGGGGGTGTCCCGGGGGTGGGGGGCACGCGGGGAGCTCAATCGGAGTAGATGATGAAGCCGGAGAAAGTGCTGTATTTGTTGCTGTTGCCGCCGTGCGCTTTGCCCCCGTCCAGCTTGATGAAGACCTCGTCGCCCGCATCCAGGTGCAGGATGACGCTGTTGCTGGCGTAATCGTAGTTCTGGTCTGCGTCCTGGGCAATGGCGCTGGCCCGCACCTGCGGGGGCGTTTGGGGGACGGGTGTGAGAGGGTAAGGAGGTGAGGCAGCCCCCTAGGGACTAGACGTGACCACAGCCCGGCCTCCAGCCCCGTCTGTCAGGGCGCTCGGCCTGCTTCTTTCCGGCTCCCCCCCCAACCCCCTCCAATCATAGAGAGCGCATTTTAGGAGGGGTCCTGGATTTCTAGGGCAGGTCTAATCTGGGCCTGAACTTGGAGTCAAGTCTAGTCTTCCTCCTTAACTCCTCCAAGTCTGGCCATCTGGCCTGCTGAGAAGCTCAACGTCCCCAGGATGTCTCAGCCTGGAAGTCCTTCCCTGCAAAGAGGAATTCTCCGGCCCTCCAGGAGGGCCTTCCCTTCTCTCCCCATCATTCCTTCCCCTCTGCTTTGATAACTGTAGTGATGTCTTACATTTCAACTACATCTGCCCCATCTTACATCAGTGGATGCATACAAGGGTGCACGTTGCCCCCACAGGTCAGGCGGCTGAACCAGTGCCAGGCTGCTAATAAGCAACCTGGGCTGGGTCTTTGCACTCCTTGTCTGACGTTCATTCCAGAGTCTCTCCCCAAGGACAATGAGATGGAAGGCCTGGTAATTCTTTCCCCTCTCAAGGCTCGGACTGGGCCTGGGTGCCAGCCTCCAAGGAGTTGTAGCTATATACCTGTGACTGTCACCCTGCCCAAAGAGGACTTTTGGCTCCTCCTGTCTCACCCTAGGGTGGTAGAAAGGAACTGGGTGGGAAGAAGGGAATTCAGGCCTTGCATCCCTCTGTGATTCTATCTGATCTGACATCCTTGCTGGTCCTTATCTTGATGGGTGATGAGGAGGGACAGGCAGGACAATGGGTCAAGGGAGCCCCAGTATTTGGGTTTGATGCCTGCTGTCACTTTTGGGGGCTCTGACTATAGCAATAAGATATTCTTCTCTAACCATTGATGCAACACAATGCCTGAGCCTTAGGATCTGGGGCCTTTCTAGGATATGCCGGGTAGAAAATGGAAAGAGAACAGCCATCTCCAGGACTGTGGCTTGTGGTGGTGGGGACGCTGCATGGTGGGGTTGCTCAGCCAGGCTTTTGGACAGCCCCTGCCTATCCTGCCCCTTCCCTGAAAGGAACCCTCCCCTACCAGGGCTGACCTCTGGACTGAACCAAGCCACTTTAGGGGCGGGGCCCTTCTCTCTCCTGGGCTGAAGGCAGAACTGCAGGTAAGCTGTCCCAAAGCTGCTGCCTCAGCAGTAAAGCTGCAACCAAGAGGACCCAACGCATCTGCATGCCACCCTCCACTTAAAGCCCAATCTCTCCCTCTCTTCCCTCAACCTCTCCTTCCCCAGCCTAGGAAGGAACTATTTGCGGTGCTTAGCTGGGAAAACTCCTGGTCCAGCTAAAGGGGGAGGGGGGGATAAAATAAGGGGAGGTGCTGTCTGTCAAGGAGCTCAGTTTCTCTGTCTAGAAAAATGGATAAGACCTTGACTCACCACTTCCATCTTTGTAAAAACCTTTTGATAGTAAGGGAAAAAAAATTTAAATCTTGGTGGGGCTTTAAGCTACTAGGGAAGGGCTGAAAGCAAGCAGCCAACTCTTGTATTGTTCCCTGGGCCCTAATCCTGGTAGTATTTATTATTATACATGCATTTCATTATCTTTGCTAATAAATTACTACTAATAACAATTATTTTTATTACCCAGATTAATTTAGCCTTAACTCATTAAAACAGTGTGCTCCTTAATAACCAAATCCATTAGAATACAGTCATCTGTCATCAGGAATCTCCTGGTGATGTGACAGGCATCAGAACTGTTATGCTTTTGTTTATTATTTATTCATCACCATGATTGTTGCCGTAATTATCCTAATTATCCATGGAGGCAGGGAGAATTTATGCTCTTCCATCCTTAGACAGTGGGGGACCAGAATCCAGGGGTCTCAATTATCTGCCCAACACTGGAAACCATTGAGACATCCAGCTCCTCCTGAGGGCAAAGGGGAAGTTTGGGTGATTGAAGTTGCCATGGAAGCAGGAAAGCAAGTCTGGGCCTTGTCACGAGGGGGCGCTATAGAATCACCTCCTCAAGAGTTGCCAGGAGGGGAAATTGAGGCAGTGGTCTGACCAGGGGAACTGGGTGGGGAGGGAGTGGTATTCAGGAAACATGTCCCTGTCCCCAGATTAGTGCTGGGGTCTTGGATGTGCAAGTGTGGCTCCCACAGGCAGCCAGCCTGGCCCACAGCAGACATATTTTTACACATTTACTGCATCCCTACTGTGCCAGGCACTGCGCACTGTGCTGTGAAAGGTATTAGGGGCCAGAGGGAGTAGTTGGGGGCCATCTCCCACCACCCGGTGAGAGGCTGATCTCCAGTTAAGTCTTTATACTGCAGCGCTCAGTTTATTTATTTGTTTATTTAAAGATGACCAGCAAGGGGATCTTAACCCTTGACTTGGTGTTGTCGGCACCACGCTCAGCCAGTGAGCTACCCGGCCATCCCTATATACGGATCCGAACCTGTGGCCTTGGTGTTATCAGCACCACACTCTCCTGAGTGAGCCACGGGCTGGCCCTAGCCCTCAGTTTATATACGCCACCACCTCTCACCTCAATCAGACTGCGTTGTTCAAGCCCTTGCCTATTTGTAATTCTCATCTCCCCACAGCTCCCTTCCCTGGACAAGTAGCACCCTGACCATAGGCCCTGGCATGTCCCCACACAGCCCCTGTCCCCAGTCCAGTTTAGCAATTTTGCATCCTCCCTGACCCATCTGAACTGTGGATCTTAGAGGCAGCCAGGCAGCTCTCTTCACTCAGGCACAGACCCCAACCTAGAGCTCTTTCCTCAGCCTCCTCAAGTTTTAATGGCCAGGGCTTGGTGTTATTGGGTGGAAGAGTGTCAACTCAAAGCTGTCCCCAGGGCAAGGGGCAAGTGGGTCTCAGAGAACGACAGAGAGGGGGCCTCAGCAACTGGCATGGAGGCGGTGATCCCCCAAACCCATCTTGCCAGGGAAAAGAGCCAGAGCCCAGATTTGGTTCTGCCTTCCCAAAGAAATTCTGGAAGCCTCTCTGCAGGCAGAAAGCTAGGAAAGAAAAGTGCAGAACCAGGGTGGCCCCTGGTCCTGAAGGCATGGGTGGTGCAAGCTCCTCTCTTCTGTTCCCATCACTTGCTCAGCCCTGTCATTTTCCCTCTGCTTACTTGAATGTCCTCGTCCACCTCTGAGCCAGGCTTTTCCCACACTTGACCTTCTATTTTCTCCTGAGCCATGTCTCCTCACCTTGGGGACCCAGGTTCACCATCCTCTCCCCCCACCAGTTTGGTCTGAGCCAGGGTAGGCCCAACTGGGCCATTCCTCCCAGCCAACACATTTGGGGACAGGAGTCACCAGTTGGGTTCCCAGCCCATCTTTAACACAGTACTCATTGGGTGTGTTACTCTATGGTTACTACTGCCCCCTGCACAGGCCATGACGTCCTGGAGGGCAACTGAATCCCTGGTACCAAGCCCCACACTTGGCTCCTAGTAGGAGCTCAATACTAATATGTGGAATGAGTGAGATTAAATGAGCTTCTTAGGCAATCTGGAAAGAGAAGTCACAAAGGATGTGGGGGAGGGCGCTGTAGGTTTCTCTTTTTAGGAGGGGCAGTAGGGTCTGAATAACTGTTAAAGTGCTGGGTCTTTGAAACGCCAAGTTAAAGCCACCTCCTTTTCCTATTAGCATGTGATCCTACCTCTAGCAAGCACCCTTCATCAGGCTCTGCTAATCCCCTGTCCCGGCTGGAAGGGAAAGGAGATTTTGCAACAGTTCCACCTCCCAGTGACTGAAGCAGGTGCTCCAGCCCCAAGCACACACCATCTTTGGGGTCTCTTCTTGCCTCATCTCTGGGGCCCTGCGATGACACCCTGAGGTGGTGTAGGGCCTAGGCCCCATCAGTGGCCTGGTGACTGCCTCCCTATCCAGGCAAACACCCAGCCCCCTAAAACTTCAGCTCTGTGCCAGCCTAAGCTTTCTTTGAGAAAGGAAGAAATTCCATTGATGAAGGTGACATTGCTGTATCCCTTATTGATGATTAATAAGGGGAATCGTGGTGCCGTCTGCAGAATAAACTCTTGCGGGATACTGGGGGCTCTCATTTGGTCAGGAACTAAGGACAAAGAGGGGAAGCCTGACAGACACAAGTGGAGGAGAGAGATACCAAGAACAAAGAGGCAGGTTAGACCCAGGGGAGAGAGGCCAGAAACCCTGGGAGAGACAAACAGGAAAGGCAGGCAGACAGAGATGGGCAAGAGACAGAGAAAGATAGATAAAGAGGCGTGGGAGAGAGAGAAACCAAAGAGGGAGCTGGGAGGGGGGCAGTGGCAAGGCAGGGAAAAGGGAAGAGGGGGCAGGCTTACAAGCACCTGGTGGGTTTTTTGCTGATTCCCCTGCCTGCCCTTTCCCCTAACCCCAAGCCTTGTAGACCTGCAGGCCAGCAAAGCCTCAAGGTAGTCCAGCGGTGGGAAGGGTTCCAACGAGGTCTTGGGTCTCAGTCGGAGAGATTCCTTCCTAACTCCCATTAGCCCAGCTTTAGTTCCGACCAGGGGTCCCCTTCTTCCATGAGAATGTTCAGCCCTGGGACCCGATGCCACCGTGAGCTGCGAGCACTGGGAAGGGAGGTGGTATCAAAAGAGCTGAGTATGTTTGCCCTGGGGCAGGATTGGGTCGAGATCGGTCCCGGGGCCAGCCATTTCAAGGAGAACTCCGAACACACGCGGGTCCCAGTACCAGAGTCCCTGGGCACTTGGCTCCTTCCAGCTCCGGTGTCTGGAATGGGGACAAGGGACGGAAAGGATGTGCCCACACTCCAGGAGTCAGGAGGGGTTGGAGCAGGGAGACCGAGAGGAGGGTGAGTTTCCATCTCTTCGCCCCGTTTCAGGAGGAAAAACTCCTCCACCCCACCCCCGGCACCGAAGTCCGCCTTCTTGCGCGGGGTAGCTGTGGCACAGTGGGAAGGGACCGCACAGTCCCGGATTTTGCAAAGGGTGTCAGATCTGCCCAATGGTCCCTTCCCGAGGGCGGGGGATGTATTACAGCTAAAGCTCTGTGCGCCGAGCTCTCTTTGCCTTTGTGCCCAAAACATTTCCCGCAGCCCGCCTTCTCTGCTTGCGCGCAAACCCGCGCGCCTAGGCGCCCACGGACGCAGAGGCTGCCTCTCCCCACACGGTGCCCCGGAGCCCATCCTTGCCCTTCCCTTATCGCCCGTTGGTATCTGCTTGAATCCAGGCTCTGCTGGTATCAGCCTAAATCTGCTTCTCAAGGGCCAACCCCCTAAGGAACAGTCCGCGCGCCCCGGAGCCCTGCACTCTGACTAGTTGGGTTTATCTCCTGCACTTCCGTGACGCCGGTGCCCAGCAGCATTTGCGTTGGAGCCGGCGCCAGGAACCGAGGAGTCGGGATGCCCGCTGGCTCCGACCATCCCAGCATGGGATGCCTAAGCAGGGCTACTGTGGGGTCTCCAACTGTGCCCGCCTGGCGCGCCCGCTGACTCTGATCGGGTACCCATTTGCCCTGGACTCCTTGGGAGCCCTGTCCCCAGGCCAGCCCCATGCCCCCGCCTGGCCCACCTGACCGTTCTTGCAGAGGTCCGCCCACATACTGGTGCCGTCGCCGCCGCGCATGAGGACATGGTAGGTGAAAAAGTAGGTGCCGGGAATGTTGCACGTAAACTTGCCGCTGGCCGCATCGTAGTTGTTGCCTAGATTGGTGACCACGTCGTCAAACTTGAGCACCTCGTAACCCTCGTGGGGGTTCTTGAGGCCGGCGTAGAAGGCCACGCGCGGCACCGTGCTGTAGGTGGCCGTGCTGATGGCGCCGCTGCCCCCCGCGCCTGGGAGCCCGGGAGGGCCCGGCTTGCCTGGCTCACCCTTCTCCCCGGGCGGCCCCACAGGGCCCGGTGGACCAGGGTCCCCGGGAAGCCCTGGGGGTCCGGGCTTGCCAGTACGGCCCGGCTTCCCCTGGGGGCCCTGCACCAGCGTGGAGGGCGGGGGCG